CCCACAGGACTGGAAAGTGGGAAGGAAGATGAATAATGGCACAGGGTCTAATCCCCTCATGGGCCCAGATACTGTGGGTGAGAGAGAGGAAGGATTTTGCCTGAGGTTTGGATCAAGGAGAAGAAAGGTGTGTGGGGATGGGAAGCAGCTTGTGAGTCTGTCTGTCCCTCTCTCTGACAGGACACCCAGTGAAGCCATATCTCTCCTCTTTCCCACAGGATCCAGCATGGCCCAGATAGTCACTCAGACTCAATCAGAGATGTCTGTGCAAGAGGGAGAGCCGGTGACCCTGCACTGCTCATATGGCGCTATTTATACATATTACAATTTGTACTGGTACAAACGACTTCCCAGTGGGCAGATGGTTTTTGTTATTGCCCAAGGATCTGAGCAGCAAAATGCAAGACAGAATCGCTTCTCTGTGAACTTCCAGAAAGCAGCCAAATTCATCAGTCTCATGATCTCAGACTCACAGCTGGAGGACACTGCAGTGTATTTCTGTGCTGTCACAGAAGCCACAGTGAGACAAGCCATAGGGAGAGGCTTACAAAAACCTCAGAGCTCTGCATCTGTGCAGAAGTGGGGAGGATGGGAAGGTCCAGGATTACAGGAACATGCAGAAAAAATAATTTCTTCTCCACAAGAACAAATATAATGTCCCCCCCCTCACTGTTACACTCCCTGGAGAACATTTCTTTCTGTCTGCCCACTTTGGGTGACTGGAGGAGAGTTTGGAATGACACTCTCCCAGCTGAAATAATTAAGTCCAGTGAGTGGGTTCCAGAACTTAGCTTGGAGCTATGTTTAGACTTAGTGGTGGGAGTGATTGGACATGGGCAAGACCAGGGGGAGGCCAAGGCCAAATTGCCTGGTCATAATTGAGATCCCTGAGTCATTTCCCAGCCCCCCACTTCCATCACTTACTCTAAACAGTCAGTTTCTGGGACAACACACCCCAGCTCAGCTCAGCACCCACACTTTGGCTAGTCTGTTAAAGTGGGTGAGACATCCACCTCTGTAAAAATGTCCCTCTCACACAAGGAAGAAGCCATCAAGCTCTCCATAGGGACTGGGATTTTGGTATTTTTGTTTGTCTGTTTGTCTAAAGAGTCCAGGGTCTTTTGCTGCCTCCCAGGCTGCACTGCAGGGGTAGGATCTGAGCTCGTGGTGGCCTCAAACTTCTGGCTTCAAGTGAGCCTCAGCCTCAGCCCCCCATGCACCTGGACTATAGACATGCAAGTCTAGCTAATTTATTTTTAAGTTTTTTTGAGACAGGGTCTACTCTATTGCCCAGGCTGGTCTTGAGATCATGGCCTCAACTGATCCGTCTGCGTTAGCCTCACCAATGCTATTCAGATTCTACCTTCCTTCTCCTTCACCCCTAAGGCCCAGTGAGTCCCCACCACTTACACATTCAGGCTTGTTACCAAGTTTGTACCAGCCCTTGTTTCTCCTTTCCATCCTTACTCCCAGGGTCTTCATCCAGCTCTTCTCATTTCAACTAATAATTATTCCCCTCATCTCTCTGCCCTCCATTCTGTCCCCTTCAAACATTGTTTTTTACAGCCCCCAAGTGATCTTTCTATAGTAAAAATCAGATCATGCCCACCCCCACTTCCCTGAAGCCCCTTGTCCCACAGAAATGGAGAAATGTGATTATCAGAGTGGAAGTCCATCACAGCAGAGGCCACCTCTGTCTCCTCAGCACCTCCCATGCCTGACAGGGTGAACAGTAACACATCACCTAGCGATGGATTAATCAGTCCCCCGCTTAGCAAGGCAGCCTCATCTGTTACCATATCCCCAACCCCCACCCCTACACTCCCGTCATTTCAGAACATGAAATTGTTTCCTGCACCTGGGCCGTTGTTGGCGCTGTTCCCGCAGCGTGGAATGCCCATCTGCACTTAACCACTCGGGTGTGATAGAGGTCTGCAAGCCTCCCCTCCTTTTCCAGTTCTTTCCTAACTCTTGCCCCAGTAGAACTGACCACTTTCTCCTTTATCTCTCAACAAACTGACACCCTAAGTGTATCATGTATTTCTAATATGGCAAATCTGACACTTTGTGGTATTTATGTGGTTTCACTACCTCCCCACTGAAGTACAAACACTGGTTATCAGGGATAGAGTTTTATTCACTTTGATAGTAACAGTGCCTATAACATCCCTTAGTTCATATGTATGATTTTTTTACGTTATTTTGAATAAAGTTAATTAAAGGTGGAATTTTCATCATTACACATGATAAAGTAAAAAAATGACAATTTTTTTTTATTTTGCCATCTTATCCAGAGTTATGTTAACTCAGGATTCTGAGCTAAGGCAAAAGGCCACAAGGCATGCCAAAAATTAGTAGTAATTACAGCATCATGTTGATAATAATATCAGAGGTAGCTAATCCTCACTGACGACGTGAATGTGCCCTATGGTCTGATAGGTGCATCATAGGTATGATTTCATTTAGTAGTCTGAGCAAATTTATGCTGCAAGTACTACTAATATCCCAATTTAATGAGGAATTAAAGCCCCCAAAAGGTTAACTTGCCTAGAATCACAAGAGTTTGTAGGATTCTTTAACCACTGGACTCTTTGCCTCAAAGAAAAGTGGCAAAATTCTGCAGCATTTCAGTATCACTAATTTAATAGACATATAGGTGTACCATATACATGAACAGTACAGTACCACACATACATTTATAGTCTGTTCTCGCTGTAGGGTAGTAATTGCAAAATGGGAAATATTTCATTTATCTTTCTTAATGATGGCGCCACTGTTATCCTAAATAATCATGACATGCATAGTGCTGCGGGACAGGCCCTGGCAGGACCAGATGGCCCATGTGCCACCATCTGCAGTTATTTATTCACTTACAAGGTCTTTTGTAAGTGACTCTTATTTATTCACTCTTCATTTATTTGTAAGTGACTCTTATTTATTCACTTACAAGGTCTTTGTAAGGACTCTCCATGGCCCATGATGCTGGACAAGGACCCAGTGCACTTTCACAATTTATAAAGTATTGACTAGCTATCAATTTAGTCTAGAGCAGGAATGCTTTGAAGATGTAACCACTTTGAAGTCAGGGGAATATTTTGTAACCTTGAACCTACAGCAGGGGATCTGTTAAATGTATACTATAATGATTGATAATATTGCTAATGTTTGCTTTGGCTACGAGAGTATAAAAATAACAAAGGAAAACAGGAAGGTGAGGCAGTTCTCTGAGGAGATGTCCTCCCTGCTCCAAAATTGCTGACATTTCTGTCAATCAAGTGAAACTATTGA